TGATCACCACCAAATTAGTTCATCCAATTACTCGTCGTTGATTTACGCTCTGCCAAATTGTTTGTACTCTGCATGTATAATCGATCCATGCCAAATGATTATTAATGCTCCAATATCCATGTGCAAATTCCTGCGATAGATATTCATTTCCAGAGGATTTAATCTTTCGTCAGGAGGTCTAGTGGTTGAAACACATCAAAAGTGTCTTGACGTTGAGTTCGGAAATCCCTGACTTTCAGACGTTCTATCAATCACGTTTTGGAGTTTCAAGGGGGATCGATTTCATAACCCAATTCCAATCAAACTTCCACATGGAATGGTGCAATTTATATACTTTTTCATGGTAATTTGTATGAATTATGGAAAAAAGGTCGACCAATTTGGTGGTGGTGCGCCCATACTTTGCAGGGTAAATACTTGGTCTAGATCTTGCCTCTATTTTGGTGTGAGTTTGACCCAGCTGCTGAAGATTGCCACGTGGTACGGTTGAGTGTCCGAATACTTGAAGTACTAGATAGAGAGAACAGTTCCTCAATATCTTATTCCTGCTCAAATATAATATTCCTTTATCATTTCATAAATTTCAGTTTGCTCGTCTGTTTTTACTAATCCATACTTACTACTGCAAGTATAAAATTCGGCAGATCACTGGAAATTTTGCAGCTTGCGAAATTATTCACGTTATCGTGAACTGTCTAAATCCATTGTGAAAATTACCTTTTTGTTGCCAAACCTGCATTTTAACTGGCAGTTGGGATCCATGCTTATCCCTAACGGTTGCTCAAACTCTCAAAAACCAGGCGAATTCTAGCCTTGCCATTCAGCGATGGCGGCCAGCATATGGGGGCACAGACGCCCTGCAATTGTCATGCATCATGGACCATTGTAGGTCGAACATATCAACTATCTCATGCATGAATGATTTATGTGTGTGTTTCATTCAGCTCCACTGGCCATGAACGCGTTGTGGCGGTCGTACAGCATAACTTTGACTATCATGTGTATGCATGAATGATAACAGACATGGCAATGGAGATGCGTGCAATCTCGATTACAATGTACCTCTTGTGTGTTTATTTGCCGAATGGCAAGAGTGACTGCGACGCAAGCAGGGAGAATGCTGATATTGCTGCGATATAAGCTGCGACCGTACCGTCTAGCGAAGACCAATATACACCTTTAATTGACACTTACAGTTTCATTGCTTTGTTGACTTGGTCCTATCTAAGTGATACCGTTATAAGTTAGCTCCATCTATCGCATTGTTCCATCGATATTGCATTTCCTCATTTCCTCTACTACAAATAATTCATACTACGAAGTACTACTATGTAGTACTAGTATCTACTCACTACCTACAGTACTATTAATGTTGTTACACTTGTATATCCCGCAGGATGGATGTCACTTACATACACTAAGTCTATTTTCGTCGTGGCATTTTGGCTGTGGGATCTCGACAATTACTCACTTTCAGACCACATACTGTACATTTCCTTGTTTCATTGCATACCATCCCACTGTTTATCCGATTATAATTCTGTAAAATGGTGATTATCCTGCTATTTGTCCGACTTCACCGATGATAGCTTGCCCGGTGATAATGTGATGAAATCGTTAAGGCATGCTCAAAATCGTTAAGCCGGGTATGAAAAACGTTAAGACCCACCAAAATTCTGATAAAATGGAGCGTCTATGTGCGATGACATACCAATTTCATCAGATGGCTCAAGGACAGCCCTTGAAGTTCTATTTGTAGGCAC